TTATTGCATTGTGCAACTATAAGGATATATTAAATTTGATCTAAATATGATTATTAGATTGTCTTTTATTAATGAAGATTTTATTTTGAAATTGCAATATCCTCTCAACTATATCTTTCCTCTACTGTCTCTCTACACTTCAATTAATCCTCCTGGAATAATTTTCTACAAAAATCATTTTCATTCAGCATTCATAAAATCAAGAATCTACCACCTCTGGTATTTATTAAGTCCAAATTCCTCATTTTATTGGTCAAGGATAAATTGGGTATGTCCTAATCGTACATTATTTTGAGTACATTTGCTGTACTCATATCTGCTCCCTTACTGTTTCATGCCCACAATGCTCATCATCCCTTCCCTTTACCTTCACCAAGATTGCTTATACTTCTGCAGAAAGAACGAGCTCTCTGCCTATTCACATCTTAACCAAAAGCCTGTAGTACAAAGAATATGGGCAGTGTAACACTCCTTTGAATTTAGTTATTTCAGCCTCCTCATTGTACTAAAGTACAAGGAAATAAATTGACTTTCCAAAATCCTGCTTCTAATGTGTTTTATGATCTGGAATCTGAACCAAGATCTATTTTGCCAGATGCCTTCTCTCATGATCTTTTGCTTGCACTTAAGTTTATTTTCTCACACTAAATAGCACCCCTTTTCCCAGCCTATATTGATCTCTTTGGTGAATCCTTATTGTACTTATAAATAATACTATAGAGTTTAACATATATGTGAGAACTAACAAGTTTCAAAATACTATTATATGCAAGACACTGGTGTATCCAACTCATGTAACATTTTCTCATTATAAACAGTAACCCAATGAAGTGGACTTTGTGTCAGCATTTTACAGTGAAGTAATTTAAGGCTGAAAGAAACAAATTTTTCTGAAATAAGCAATAGAACTGGTAATCAAATACATGAAAATGTGTTCCCAAGTACCTAATGTAATATTATTCAACAGTTTCACAATTCATCTTGCCTCTCTTTAAATACTTTTCTCTTTTTTTCTTTTTAGATATATTACAGTAGAGTGTTCAAATAGACTCTTAAGTATCAGTTTCCTCCATGTATATAGAAAAACATGGAGTAATGCCCCTTTGTTTCAGTAGAGACAATGGGTGTAACTACTGGAGGGAATATTTCTGAGAAAACAAAAAATAACATATGTCATAATATACCACTTCTGTTGAGTGAAAAAATTATATTAATAGTTTAAAGTTGTTCAAGCCAAATCATCATATCCAAGGACTTGATTAAGAGATCATCAAACATTAGGTGTCAGGTACCAAAAGGATGATCAAATTCATGGGACATAGTTTTTTCCTTGAATTGGGACAGCTTTGTTGGTTTATTTTACAGAAAAAAAGTATTTTCAGAAATACAAAATTAACTCTTTTAAAGTTCATTTTGCACAATGAACTGGATGTTTTATTCCATCCATTTAGTGTGTGCTTTGATACCCAAAACTTGAGGACACCTTTTTGTAGAAATTTGGTGTCAAAAAGATTCACTAAGTCAGGCACATTGGCACATGTTTATAATCCTAGCAACTTGGGAGGCTGATGTAGGAGGATTGTAAGTTCAAAGCTGTCCTCAGCAACTTCATGAGGCCCTGAGGAATTTAGCAAGACTGTGTCTCAAAATAAAAAATAAAAAGGGCTGGGAATGGATATGGCTCAGTTGTAGGTACCCTGGGCTCAATCCCTGTGCCAAAAAATTTTCATTAAATGGAAATTTATGTTTACATAATTTGTGATTATGCAGAAAATTCTTAGAATCAATGAAGGTTAATTATATCCACAGTAGTTGTTCCATGTAAAAATGTTATTTTATTATTTTCATTTTAAACTTTTGCTTCATTTACTTAACATTAAGGAAAAATGGCAGGGTTATGGAGATAAAAGAAATAGAATTTCTGTTATGAGCAATTTCTCTGAGCTATATCACTTTCTGGAACCCATCATTATAAGTATTCTTTTTCCATATTTTCCCAATAATTATGTATTTGTAGCTTGGAACACCATATTTCGTTCTTATGAGTCTTAATTTTCATATTTCTAGATAAAATTGAGGGTTTTTTTTTACTTGTGATAACTTTAAAAGTATTATTTGAGGATCAAAAATTGTAATAATGCTTGATAACTTGAAAAAATATAAGGAATTTTAAACAATTTACTCTACTTTATTCTTTTTTATCCTCTGGGATATATTAAAGTCCAAAGCTAATCTTAGATGGATTTGGAAAAGCATTTAGATATTACTGAGGAATTCCATTTTAATTTGTCACAAACTGATATTTCTACCCCCATACAATCAGTCTTACTTGTTCCCTGTTCCTTAATTTACTTAATGACACTACCACTATTACATAAGAAAATAGACGCATTCTTGGGGCTGGGGATGTGGCTCAAGCGGTAGCGCACTCGCCTGGCATGCGTGCGGCCCGGGTTCGATCCTCAGCACCACATACCAACAAAGATGTTGTGTCTGCTGAGAATTAAAAAATAAATATTAAAAAAATTCTCTCTCTCCTCTCTCACTCTCTCTTTAAAAAAAAAAAAGAAAATAGACACATTCTAAAATGTACCTTTTCCCCTCCCACATCCAATTATTTGCCAATCCCAAGACATTCTTGCCTTAATATCTCTCGAATGTGTCTTTTACTTTCAATTCTTGTAGTTTATTGCCTTATTTTTTAGCCTTTTTAGAGTTTAGACTGCTGTATCTGTGTTCTAACAGGTGTCTTTCCAGTTTCCTTCCCCCATATCTTTCTCTCAAATTTTTCCTCCACAGCACCAGCAGAGTGATTTATCTCAAGCCCAATGAAATTATACTGCTATCCTGCTTTAAATCATTTAAGTGCTAATTTGCAGTCCTACCAGCATTGTGTGAGTGTCCTTTCCCCTACATCCTCACCAATTATTGCTTGTTTTCTTGATAATTGCCATTCTGACTTATGTGGGATAAAGTCTTACAGTAGTTTTGATTTGCATTTCTCTAATTGCTAGAGATGATGAACAATTTTTCATATTTATTGATCAACTGTATTCCTTATTCTGTGAAGTGTCTGTCCCCAGCTACCCCACTCCTTGGTTTATACCCAAAGCATGTAAAATCAGCCATATCAATATTTATATCAGCTTAATTCAGAATATTTAAACTCTGGAACCAACCTAGATGCCCTTCAACAGATGAATGAATAAAAAAATGTGAGATATATATATATATATATATATATATAATGGAATATTAGTCAGCCTTAAAGAAGAATGTAATTATGTAATTTTCAGGCAAATGAATGAGCTGGAGAATATCATTCTAAGCAAAATAAGTCAAATTCAAAGATTCAGAGGCCAAACTTTTTCTCTGATAAGTGGATGCTGATCCATAATGGTGGAGGGGGGAATTAGGGAGGAATGAACAAACTTTGGATTGGGGAGAGGGGAATGAGGGGAGGGGAGGGAGTGTAGAGATGGGAAGAATGGTGGAATGAGGTTGACATTATTATCCTATATAAATGTATGATTACACCATTGTAGTGACTCTGCATCATGTACAGCCAGAGGAATGAGAAGTTGCACTTTATTTGTGTACAATGAGTTGAAATGCATTCTTCTATCATGTATAACTAATTAGAACAAATAAAAAATATTAAAAATCTTTTAAATATTATTCATCACTTGTGGAATAAAGACTAAATTTTCTACTACGATACACAAAGTTCCTGCTTACCTTTCCAATGTCAGTGCATATTACCACTGCAACCCACACCATATACTCTATGTATGCCAAACAGTGGGTGAGATGTGCTAATATATTTTCAGCTGAATTTAAGAACAGAAACTTGAGGATATAGGGGGCAATATTTTTCATAGATATCTGAGATTTAGGGGTGAGGTAAAGCTTAAGTAGAGGGAAGGTACCAAAAAAGAACATGGTGCTTACAAACACAAACAAAGCAATGAAGAGATAAAGTGGAGAGATTCACCTAGCTGGAGCAGATGACTGAATTTAAGAAATTAATAACAAAGCATACAGAGACAATGGTGACAAACGGTTGGAAACTTACAAAAATTTTGTCAGGTCATGATGGCTTGAATCCTGCATTTGTCAAAAATCTACTTGGTAATTATTTATCAAAAGTGGTGTTTATTTTTAATGGATACCTGGAATCCTATTCCCTGTTACTAACTGCAAAGCAAAGAAACAGTTTTATTTCAGTTATTTCACTTCATATTTTCTCAGCTCTCTTGGCATGTATTATTAAAATTCCACACAATTTGTTGAGTGTTTTTTTTTTTTTTCGGAGCTTCAGAGTTAGCCTCATTTCTTCCAATGCTTTCATCTATAAAACTTCTTAGTAAAGGGCTAGGTTAGCATTTTTCCTAAGTTAGTAAGATTGAATTATATAAATAGCAAGTTAAGCAAACAATGCACAATACTGATGATTCTTAACTATTTTAATTTTGTGTACCACACTTATAAAATGATAACAACAATAATAAACAGCATTAACAATAAAATAGAAATTTATTAAGGGTTATATTAAATCTATAATGGCCATCACGATATTCAAGGCATCTATCATAAGAATTGGTAAAAGATAAGGCCATCTTCTTCTGGAGACAGAGACTTTACAAGAAATATGGAAATAATCTCTGGTTCAAATAGCTGACCTCATTTTGAATCATTAACAATACAAAATTATTTTAAAATTATCACTACAAATGACCACATTACTTTCTTTTCCTAATTACAGAGTCTGCCAGAAATAAATAAGATAGATGGGATAATTGTCACATGGTAGTTTGAAGCAACATGGGTGGGCATAGTAGATAAGAAGACCATGGTCATGTACTGGGAAGGGTTTGTATGAATAAACATATAATAAACATTGCTCAGTGATCTCTGCAGAATTTCGAAGTTATTTGCTCATATCCTTAGAACCTTCTTGGTTGTGCCTTTCTCTTTTCCATCTCAAGGTATTCTTTTCATTAATCAAGGACCAAGCTTTGACTGCTACCTGTCTGGAGTTTGAGCTGCAACAATAGGATAAAAAGAAACTGGGGAGTTAAAATTGTGTATGTCCATGTAGAAATATACCACAATTAATCTTGCTTTATATATATATATAAATATATATATATATGTGTGTGTGTGTGTGTGTGTATGTATATGTATATACATATATATGTATATACATATATGTGCACACATTAATAATAATAATAATAATAATAATAATAGAAGGGAGATCAGTGGAATAGAGCAAGTTTATGGAGGAGGGAAGGAAGAAGGGAAATGAAAGGTAACTAGGAAATGATAATGAGAAAATTATATTATGTTAATGTATGAATATAGAATAAAGTACCACACTATTATATATGACTAAAATGCAACAATAAGATGGAAAACTTTAAAAGAAAAATTAAAAGGGGCAATGAGAGAAAAATGTATTTTTTATCCTTAGAGTATTTTTTTGTAAATTTAGGTATCTTTTTTAAAATTCTTTTTAGTTATACATGATATTAGAATGTATTTTGATGTTTCATATGTACATGAAGTATAACTTCCCATTTTTTTATTGGTTGTACATGATGCAAAGTTACACTGGTCATGTATTCATATAAGAATATAGGGAAGTTATGTTTTATTTATTGTACTGTCTTTCTTATTCCTATGCCCTCTCTTCCCTTCATTCCCCTTTGTCTAATCCCTAGAGTACTTTAAATAGAATATTTGGCAGAAAATATCGGATATCATGACCCTTGAAAGGATCAAATTTTTGCCCAAGAAACCTACTCTGATCACCTTACAATCAAGAATAATACACTCAACATACTAAGATGGAGACACAGTAATGCTCATTTTGCAGCTTAAGTGTCTGCTAAACCAGGTTTATGCATTATTTACTACTTTTCAGACCTACAGTTACATGTTATTTTAACATATAAAATTAACTCTAAATATTTATTTGTATACTCTGAGTATTTACCACTTTGTAACTGTGATCTTAAAAAAGGTTACTATGCTTCAGTTTCCTCATCTGCAAAATAGGGATAGTAATGTAGCTTCATAGAATTGTGAGGATTAAATGAGCTAATGCATGTAAAATATGAGTTTGTATTAGATAATAAGTACTCCCTAAATGCTATTAAATGGATGCTTGAAGATTTACCCTTAATTTTATCCAGTTCTTCAATTTCAACAATGATCTTACCTCAGTTTCTGTTATGTCACATTATACTCTGTTAACAAACTCTATTCAAGAGAAGTAAGAAGCAGTGAAAAAAATCATATTGATTTTTCTGATATTTTGCCTAAAATCCTCACAGTTAACAATCTTAGTGCTTTCTTCTGGTTCAGAACCTTATACAACTACCTAAAAATTATCTTTCTGGAGCCTAAACAAAATTTAGCTTGCCTAATTATCTAACACTGTATAGTGTTTTTGGCTGTAAACAGTTTCTATTACTGGGGATATAACATTTATGAGGTGAAATAAGAAAACTCTCCTTGTTTCTCTTGTCATTCCAATTTGCTTTCTACTTACCTAGATATTTCCGTATCATAAAAAGTACTATATACACCAGAAATTAATTTAAAATTTACTTGTTTATATTTCAATTGTTCTTATTAAAATCACAATATAAACTCATGTGACTGCCGGTACTCAATACAACCCCAAATCAGGGGAAGTTACCTGATATGTGTATGTGTGTTTGTGTGTGTGCGTGTATGCGCGTGCACATGTGCATAGTGTGTGCGCATGTGCTTGTATAGATAGGCTCTTTATGAGAGGGTGGTGGTGAGAATATACTGGGAAGCTATTTCCAGAGTTAGTAATCATGTAGTACAGTTGATTTAGAAGAGCTTGGATACATGTGAGGGTATAAAATGGGATAGAAACATATCAGGAAATTGAAAGGATAATACTGAAAAAAATAATTTAATTACAAATGGATTTAGATTACTCAGAATATATGTTGATATCAAATGATATGATAAAATTAAGATTTCAGTAAGCATGTTTATTATTCCACAATTTCCCTGCCTTAATCTCCAATATGCTCATTATAGCTGTATTCATATCCTCATATTTTTTTCATTTTCTTTAGGAATTATTGAATCAAAAGTCTCTAACCAATCAGGGAAATACATGACTTTGAAATTCCCATAGAAAAAAGGTCATTGACACAGATTTTCTGCAATAGGGACAGTTATGAAGATGGTCTTCACTTTGAACTTGGGTATTTTTAGAGGGAAATTGGAAGACATGACTCATGAGAGGCAAAAACTGGAATTTTGTAATAATAATTTCACATTTATAATCTTTGATAATAAATATACCCAAACTCATACTTATTTGAAAAATATAGTCTACCATTTGTTTCTCTAAGCAAAGAAAATGGAATACAAACAGCTACCTCTTTTAATTGCATGCCTGAAAAACATGACAGATTACAGATTCTGCAGCTGGTTTATTATAACCACACTTGTGTTAATGCACCAAATACCTCCTAGCTTTAAAATCTAGAAGGAGAAAATTTGTTTATCTGTACGTGAATATATTTAATTAAGTAACTATTTGGAATGACATTGCTTTGATTATCTGTAAAATGTGGATACTCTTGTTTTCCTGCCCAAAGATTGAATTTACGAAGATTTATTTCAATGAAAATTAAGCAGAATAATTAAATTTATTTATGTATTTTCATGGCTACTTGATCAGGAAGGAAATGAGTCACTTGGTAGTCTACTTTAAAATGAAAGTCCCACAACTTTTGGACACTTCAGCCAATCTTCCTTTTGAAGAGATTAGCCTCTCCTAACTTAAGACTTATTTTTAGGCTTCCTCAAATATTCAAGATACTGTAGAAGAACTTTATTACAAAAAGCTGGACAAACTTTATTCACATTCACTTCTGAGAATGCCTACATAACTCCACATTTATAAAACTCTGGTTGTAATAAGCCATTTTATATAAAACTGTCTTTCTCTTCAGTGTCATTACTGAATCATTCTTGTTGTAAAAGTCTACCATAAATAAAAAAATGGCTACCTCTTTGAATGGCCCTATTTCAATTATTCTCAAGTAGAATGAAATCTGTCAAAGAATTAAACTGATTAAATCAAGTAAATTTTATTTATGAATATAAGTCATTTGCACAGTCTAACATTAAGAAAAGTACACTTACTTTTAATCTAGCCCCTTGAATATGGAATTGTTATTTCTGTAAAATTTAAAAAGTTATCAGATAACTTATTAAATTATATTAGACTCTTAGTAATATTGTTCTAATACCACTGAACTCAATATTAACCTTACGAAAAGAAAGATAATTTCAGAAATTAATATTTTTCCCTGAAAAGTACAACTCAGAATGACAACCTATACACATACATTTTCAACTTATTCAAACATATTGGTGATATATATTCCCAACTAGTTTAAATATATTGGTGACATGGGATCTAAACATCTAAATTGTTTCTAAGCATTCTGGAACCTTAGTGAGAGGACACTTAATTTGTTTTCCTATAACTCCTACTCACAAATGATCACTTGTTGTTAAAATAAACTCTTGAGTTCTTCAGAGAACAGCAACTATGTTCTTCATTGAGTCTCTGTATTTTTGAGCCTGCTACACTGTTTAATTATTAAATGTCTTTGGAAAGAATGAATAAAATGGTGTACGTGGCTTTCCTATGTATTATGATGTTGGATTGGCAGATTATGTTCAGTATAAAATTTTTATTTCATTCAGAGTGAGCTTCTCTTACTTTATTGAATAGGAAAGGGTCCTTGTTTTCTGCATGATAGTTGTTTTGTGAAAGACATAAGAACACACATAATAAATGAGGAAAATGTAGAAATACCAAAGCTCTATGGGAAGGCGATCATTCATTCTTACCGAAGTTGCCTTGTTAGTGAAGGCATAGAAATGCATTAATTATCAAGCTATTCATAATTTATTGTGAAGTTCTGTCCATCTCCTATAAAAATAAAATAATTGGTTGCCAATATTTCCTTTGTCTAGTCCTGGACAAAAGACTGGAACAAGTACTCAGGGCATAGTATATATTTGAACAGATATTTTATTATAAACTTATTTTGATACGGTATTTTAGGATATAAATACCTTACATTTGAAAAAAAAGTTGCTTTTGAGAAGAAAGGCATGTATTTTTGCAAGTAGCTTTTATCTTGTTACCTCTAGTTAAGAAACATAGTTCTTGGGTAATATGATTCAAACTTCAAAATGATAACTACATTCCTTAAAACTCATAAGCTAAAACATGTTATAACTATATACTCATTCAGCTAAAACACCAAAGAGATAAGACATTTTTAAATACTTTCATATCCTGCAAAGTTCCATTTGTGAGAAACAACTTTAATAGGAAGGCTTATATTTGAACAATATTATTTTTATTACTTACTACTCATCATCTTTAAGTTAGCAAAGAAAAAGGTGTAAAGTCATATTAGGTAACTACAGGAAGATGTAGTCTCTTAGGAAGGCTACAGGATTGTTCTCTATTAAGGAGCTACCAATTTTGCACTTCCATTATGTTTATAAAAATCTATGTATCATTCTAAATGTAAAATTGCATTCAATTACATATTTTAGTGTAAAATAATTATTTCAACTTGAAAATTTATGTACACAAACATTATGGTCTGAACTAAATGCTTTTACCTATCATGACTAAAAGAGTATAAATTTCAATGTATTTAAAATAATTTTGGCCTGATGGCAACATGGTGGTAAAGTTTTGTCAAAAAGAATCTTGTCAAAAATTGTTTACCAAACACTTATCAGTCTTAATTTCTGCATGCAATTCAGAGTTCTAGAAGAAGCATTTGATATGAATTACTTGACAAGATTTATGTGCTATTCAACCCTTGATAGAATAGACCAGTCAGCCATCATGCAAACAAAGTCATTTTGCTATTTGCCAAGTATACAACAAATGAATCCTTCAAATGGAAAAATGTATTGTTGGTGCCAGGGGTCAAAGATAAAATAATATCAGACAACTTGTTCACTCTCTCCCATGGTTTGAATATCCAACTAAATAAAAATAAAATTTTAGATTGTGTTCAATAAACTAACACTCCAAATTATAGAAAATGGAGAAGAAATAAAAAATCTGCATTGATATAAACTTACCTTAAAAAATTGATTCACAGCACCTGATGATATGGCAAACTTCACAACATCTGGTGGTTCAGCTTCTACTATAATATCAAAACTAGGGAGTGTAATATTTGGATTGTAGTGAACATTTAAACTGTCATGATCCTTGATGCCAATGGTATTCTGTACCCCAGAGGAATCTTTTGAAAAACCAGATTCCTTAGCATCAAGAAAATCCTTGGACTCAATGTCAGGTATAAAAGTTGTAGAGTCCATGGAAACAGCAGAAACTTTGAAGGGAATCTGACATTTTTGGTCATCAAAATTGGGATTAAATGAATCAGAAAATTTAGAAGTGGTCAAATTCTTAGGAGTAGAAATACAGCTAGTGCCAACAGCAAAAGTGGGAGAGTTTCCATAAATAATATTAGGAACAGAAGTACTGGAACTGATTTCCAATTCAGGACCAGAGAGATTATTGCTTGTATTAGCAGAATTATGAGCATTCTGCATATTTATAGCATTATAATCGGTATTGACAACAATGGTAGAGTCAATTAAATGAGTAAATCTAGGGATATGGTTGGTGTCTGCATCATAGTTAGTTCCAGTATTATACCTAGGGCTAACAGCACTACTATAGCTAGTGGTGTTGGTATCAGTGAAATTGACAGTGCTAGCTGCAGAGTTGTGTTTAACAGCATAGCTGTTTCTGTCAATATAGTTTGGGTTGGCTACAAAGCTAGACCCTACAGCATGGGTAAATTCTGGGACATAATCACAGTCTGAATCACAGTGTGTGGCAGCTGAATAGTTGTGGCCAGTAGCACTAGTGGGTCTTGCATCATAGCTGAAGTCAGTATCACTGTTAGGAATAATATCATTGTTGTTACTAGTAACATTACTAGGACTGACATTATAGTTAGAGTCAGGATCTTTATGGGGAACCAGGGTATTATTGGGGTTGTGGAAATTGTTGGGGCCAAAGTCACTGTTACTGGGGCCAAGGCTATTGATAGTTGATCTGATATTGTGGAAGCCAGGGCCAATGTTGGAGCAAATGTCATTGCCAGGCTTGGTGGCATTGCTAGGGGCAGCATCATTGTTGGAACCAGAAGTATAGACTGAGTTGGTTCTATTTTGAGTCCCCGATGTGTAGTTTGGATCAGTGCCATTGTTGGAGTTGGCAGTATTGTCTTGATCAACTAGGACAGAAGCACTGTATGAATTATTGGTGTGTATGTCCTCCTCAGGATCAGTGCTGTATTTGGAGTCAGCATCATTGTTAGTGGTATTATCAAAGTTAGGGTCAGTTTCACTGTTGTGGTTGGTTCCATCGTTGGGGTCACCATCACTGCTGGGATCAGTTCCACTTGTAGGCCCAGCATCATCACTGGGATCAGACTCATTGTTATTATCGGCATCGTATTCAGAGTTGCTGTCTTTGGGATCATTGTCATCAGAATCAGACTTATCTTTGGGATCTTTCTTTTCTTTGGTGTTATTTTCATCTTCAGGGTCTGTTTCATCTTCAGCATCTGTCTCATCTTCAGAGTTAGTGTCAGTTTCATGGATTTTCTCATCTTTGGGAAGAGACTTGTCTTTAGCATCGGCACTATTGTTGAGATTTCTAGCACTGGCAACTTCCGTCTCATTGTCAGGATTGTTTTCATTTTTGTGTTTGACAATAAGGTTGAACTTATGTTCACTTTCAACTCCAGTAACACTGCAAGTGTTGATGACAGTGTCTGGGTCAGAGGTACTATGTTGACCCATGATGTTCTCGGAATTTATAGGAAAGGTATGGGTAATAGAGGATATGAGATTTTGGAAAGCTGAACAACTTTCACAATGTAAATAAGAAGTTGAGCCCAAAGAATACTTAGAATCTTCCTGGTGTAGAGGACAGAAGATGTCCACAGGACATTTTTGATCCAGGGTCTGAGATAAAGGGCTGAATTGGTAGGTTTTGTTGTGTCTATCAGATTTGGGGCTCAGAGAATATTTAGAATCCAAAGGAATTTGGAGATGTAAAGGACAGTCAGGGTCAGAATCATCTTCAGAATTCATGACACACTGATGAAAAGGAGAGTCAGTGATTTCCATAAAGCATTTGAAGCATCTTTTTGCTCCCATATCCACAGAAGTTATGTTATTTCTTTGAGTGTTAGGGCATACAACAGGGTTAGGGCTTATAGAAGTTTGACTGCAAAGAGATGCTGAAACAACAGAGGAGTAAACCTCAGCACTTGGATGAATAAGATCAAACTGAGACCCAGAACTCTGAAAACTATGAGCATATCTATAGTTCTTGTAGTGGCTCTTGTAGAAAGAAATTTTATGGCTGGCTTTTCTTCCATGGTTTTCCTCCACGTTTGGGTCTGAAGAATGGTTGTTGCTGTGCTTTTCCTTTAAGTTTTTTTGAGAGTCATGTTTCTCACTGAGGGCTGGAGACACCTCTTTGAGTCTCACAATCTTGTCATCACTCAGGTACTTAACAAGTTGAATTCTGGAAACTGATAGAGAAGAGTAAAATATGAGGAAGACTGACCAAAACATAATGAAGTCTGACTTTGATAATCATATTAAAACATAAATCTGTGCAAGAAAATATAATTTGCTTTAATATGTTATTGTGAGTATTATTTGGTATTTCAAGGGGAGATCATGACCATAAATTTTTCACTCAAGTAGGTGTCATCTTGAGCTTACTAAGACATAAAAATGAAGCATGGCCATTTATCTCAGATGCTTATATTTTTCAGATGCAGGGAGTTTACTCCTTAGAAGATAAATTATTATATAAGAATTCACAGAATAATATGAGCAAAATAAAACTGTGGTTTTATATAGCTTTATTACTACATATCTATATTACATTTCATTTTGCTTCTAGAAATACTAGAGAATTATTATTTACTGGGATATAATCCCTATTACTTACAAAATATTTCACAAATGTTAACATGGAATAAACTTGTTTTCCAGGTACATAGGCAAAAATAAAATAAAAACCAATATCACTTCATTATTAAAACAAAAGTTCTTTTCTATCACTGTCCTAGAGTCCTCAGTATATTTTTCCAGTGTGTCACTAAACACAAAATCATACTTGGGAAGGTATCTAAAAATGCTTAATGGTACCTTCCACTTATAAATTAATGGAGAAATTTATAAAGAAAGTGATATGCCTTCTCATCAACTTTCCCTTAAGGTCAACAAGAGTTCTTAAGAGAGTTTTAAAATGAACACACATAATCTTTTAGGTATTTATAACAGATACAACTATAAGTAGGTTTACTGTGAAAGCTTTTTGACAGGTGTGGTATAAATTCCTTTGCCAGTAATTAAACATTTTTACTGTAAAATACTCATGTATATCTTTCTAAGAAAATGAGAGCATATTCTTTTAAGTGTGTGATATTATTTTCATCCACTTTCTCATTGGATAATAGATTTGTAGAATTCATTAGTAATAAATTTTAAAATATATGTTGATATGTAGTATACTATTAAGTTGCTACTCTTACTGTTGCTAGTGACTCCCTACTTTTGAAGTGGTACTGATCAATGAACTTAGCACCTTTATTATACTGACTAGGTATTTTTTTGCTAAGATATAACCCCAGCTCAGGGAACATTGTAAACAGATAACTGCTCACCAAAAGACCCTAACATAATAGAAAAAGTGAAATCCATTACACAGATTTGAAAACTAGACAGAAAATCTGAAAACATGAAGAGACAAAACAATTGGACACATCCAAATGTTTATAATCCCTCCAGGAACTAAATACACAGATATTGAAGCACATAAAATCCTAGACAAATAATTCAAATACTTGATTGTGAAAATGATGAATGAATTAAATGAAGATCTAAGGGATGAATTAAGAAAGAAAATACAGGATATGAAAGGACATTTAAATAAAAAGATAAGGATTATGAAAAAGAACAAAACAAAAATCTTATAAATTAAAGGATCAATAAATAATATAAAATATTCAGTTAAACAGTCTGTTTTATAGGTTATATCAAATAGAATACAGAATTTCAGAGCTTGAAGGAGACTGTCCTTGAACATTCATATAGTGTTAGATTAACCAGACCATACAGGAATTCTGGAACAACATCAAGAGATCAAAATTATTGCTCAAAGGCATTGAAGAAGTACCAGAGACACAGGCTAATGCAATTGATAAACTTTTCAGTAAAATAATAACAGAAATATGCCCAAATCTCATGAATGAGTTTGACATCCGGATACTTGAGGCATTTAGCACACCAAATAGCCAAGACCAGAAAATAATCTAAGATACATTATAATTAAAATATCAAATCAGAAAATATTTAAAAAACATTCAGAAGAGGAACTCCAGGTCACACTTAGAGTAAAACCAGTCAGAATTATATAAGATTTCTCAGAAGAATTCTTAAGATTCAGGAGGGGTTGGAATAATATATTTGAAGACATAAAATAAAATAATAGCTAATCAAGACTGTTATATCCAGCAAAAATATCTATGAGAATCAAGGACGAAATATAAACTTTCCAAGATAAGCATAAAGAGAAGAACTTCTCAGTTGCTTAATGTAGCATTGCAGAAGACACCTCATTCTACATACATAAGAAAATAAAACAAACAGGAAAGCAGGGGAAAGAATAATCTCATTAGAAAAACAGATAAATGAATAAATAAAAATATAAATAGATAGACAAATAGAATGGCAGGAAAATAAAATTATTCATAACAACCCAGAATGTAAATGGTCTCAATTCTCTAATTAAAAGACACAGGCTGGCAGATTGGATAAAAATCAATATCCACTATATGTTTCTGCATGAAACATAACTCAAAGGCAAAGACCACTACAGGCTGAAAGTGAAAGAATAGTTATCTCATGCAACTGAAACCTTAAAGCAAGTAGAGATAACCACTTTTATATTTGACAACACAGACATCAAATAAAAGAGAGAAGACTAAAATAAATAAAATGAGAGACAAAAAGTGGATATCACAAAGGACACCACTGATGTCCACAGGATCATTAAGTACTATTTTTTGTTCATGAATTATAATTACACATAATAGCGGCAATCATTATACTATATTTGTATATGTATACAGCATAATTTAATCAGTCTCATTCACCTTTACCTCTCGTCTCTCTTCCCTCCTCCCATGTTCTACTGCTATTTTTATTATTATTATTTTAATTAGTGATATATATGTGTATACATATGTATACACACACACACACACACACACATATATATATATATTTTTCCCACACACACACATACACACAATTCTTTGTGGAATATTTGTACATGGATATAGCAAAATTTGGTAGATTTTGTTCCCTAGTACTTCGACATGCTCTCCCCCCTTCTCTATCTTCTTCCTCTAACCTATTGTTTTTCTCACTTCTATTTTCATGTAACTAGTGACTATTTTGAAAACTTCTATTCCAATAAATTGGGAAATCTAGAAGAAATGGATAAATTTCTAGATACATACAGCCTGCCAAAAGTATACAAAGAGAATGTAGAAAACCAAAAGATACCAATAACAAACAAGGGCAATAAAGCAGAAATAAAAAACCTCCCAGGAAAGAAAATTCTGGAAGCAGATAGACTTACTGATTAATTCCACCAGACCTTTAAAGAAGAACTAATGTTAATGCTTTACATTTTTTTTCTAGAAAATAAAATGGTGGAAACACTTGTAAACTCACTCTAAGAGCCTCTTAAAATATAGAAACCTTATATCAAAATTAGAAAAAAGGAAACTTCAAGGAAAGAAAACTATACTCCAATACCCATGATGAACATATATGCAAAAACCCTTAATAAAATATTAGCAAACCATATTTCTCAACACATTTGTTGTATGTCATGAGCAAGTTGATTTCATTCCAGGGATGTAACAGTGGTTCAAAATTAAACAACCAATGAAAGCAATATATCCCATAAGTAGAATCAGGGGCAGAAATCCCACAATCATCTCAACCTATGCAGAAAAATCCTTTGAAAAAATTCAACACCCATTCATGGTGAAAAAAACATGATTCAATTAGATATAGAATAAACTTAGCTTAACATCATAAATGCTATATATGACAAAACAAAAGCAAACATCATACTGCACAAAGAAAACTGAAATCATTTTCTCTAATATCATGAACAAGACAAGGATGCCCATTGTACAACTCCCAGTCAATATAGTACTTGATCCCCAGTACCATAAAAATAAGCAAAACTGCATTGATGTATTAATTGAGACTTTAACCATAACAATTAGGAAAGAGAATGAAGTAAAAAGGAATAAAAACAAAAAAAGGAAGAAGTCAAATTATCACTGTTGGCAGATGATATTTTCTTATACTTAGAATATTCTAGAAGCTCCACCAGAAGATTTCTAGAGTTTATAAATAAATTTAGCAAAGTAGCAAGACACATGAGAAATTTACAAAAATCAGTATCTTTTCTACACTCCAGTAATGAATCTTCCAAAAGAGAAATCAGGAAAACAATTCCATTTAACATAGCTCCAGAAAATTCCTAGAAATAAATCTAACCAAGGGAGTCAAAGACCCCATTCCTCACAAGGAAAATTATAGAACTACAAAATAGGAAATCAGAGCATAAAGCAAAAGATGGAAAAAATGTCCATGTTCATGAATAAGCAGTGTTAATGTCATTAAAATGGCCATACTACCAAAGACACTGTACAGATTCAATGCAATCTCCATAAAAATACCAATGATAATCTTCTTAGATATAGAAAAAATCTTAAAATTTATATAGAAGAACAAAAGACTCAGAATAGGAAAATCAATTCTTCAGAAAAAGAGTAAAGCTGGAGGCATCACAACATCCCTTCAAACTATATTGCAGAACTGTACTAACAAAACAGGTTGGTACTGGGATAAAAATACACATCTAAAAAATGAAACAGAATAGAAGACACGGAGACAAATCATTACAATTACAGTTATTTTCTTCTTATCAAAGGAGCCAAAAACTTATGTTGAAAAAAAGGGAGCCTGTTTAATAAATGGTACTGGAAAATTGGATATCCATACATAGAAGATTGAAAGTAAATCACTATCATTCATCTGAAGCAGAGTCAACTCAAACTAGATAGAATATCTAGGAATAAGACAACAAGTGCTGGCAAGGATGCGGGGGAAAAAGGTACACTCATACATTGCTGGTGGGACTGCAAATTGGTGCAGCCAATTTGGAAATCAGTATGGAGATTCCTTGGAAACCTGGGAATGGAACCACCATTTGACCCAGCTATTCCCCTTCTCGGACTATACCCAAAAGACATAAAAAGAGCATACTACAGGGACACAGCCACATCAATGTTTATAGCAGCACAATTCGCAATAGCTAGACTGCGGAACCAACCTAGATGCCCTTGAATAGATGATAGGATAAAAATATGTGGCATTTATACACAATGGAATATTACACAGCACTAAAAAATAACAAGATCATGGCATT